ATATGGCATCAACAGTAATACGTACTTCTTTACAAACTCTACTTTGATTTTGTAAACAGTAATTATGTAGAAAGGCAAATGTGGGAAGGTGTATTAAACTCCTTCTAATTCCAGGTTCTAGTTCTTTAGTAATTGCTTTTATAATCTCCTGCATTTCAAATTACTTCCAGAGTAAATTGATGTAGATAATTTTCACTCTCAAGCTAGATGTACGATATGGATGCATTGTAGTAGCACTAAAACTCTTTATGCGTATTGTAAAAGTGCAATATAAAATTAATCACTAAGAAATAAAATGCAGATTCTGACAAACATTATAATTATTGGAAAAGATTTGGATATTCTGAGATATTCTAGAACTTAGAGTAATACTATTTGATAAGTAATGCTTAAATTCCCACTCTTAAGAAAATTTTGCAAAAGGAATCTTTTTGCACTGAAAGAAGTATAATATATAATACTCATAACAATGTATTGAGTATTATATATTCCATATATATAATACTCAATACACTCCCTCCAAAAAAAAAAAAAGGAGTCTTTGCATAGAGAGTAGGAAGAAAATTTCAAATATAACAGACCTTGGATGACCGGCTTTTTAAGGTAGGCATTTTGATCTATATTCCCAAAAACTTGAGGCAGACCTGGTACATAGTAGGCACTCAATAAATATTTGTTGGTTGTTGAATGAACCCCTGTCTGAACCCCAGACATACATCCTGAGGGATTCTTTTGATTGGTCTCTTAGTACTTTAGGGGATGATAAGATATCACAGATGTATAAAACTATATTTTGAAGGGAAAATATTGGGATACAAGACCAGAATGGCCATAAAAACACAGTACATAGATTCAGATGATATAAGTTAAGTTGTGATTCTGTCCACTAGTTAGCTGTGTGACCTTAGCCTGCTTTCTCAACCTTCTCTTAGCCACAGTGGTCACATTTGTAAACTATGAAAGAAAAGAATTCCTTTCCCAGTATGGTCTTAGATGCAAATGATATGACAGATATTAAAACACTCTGTGAACTGAAAAGTAGTCAGCAAATATTATTGGGCATAATTTGTACAAGAGGTCTGAAATCTATTTCCAATTTTATCATACATCTCTTATGTGTAGCTCTTTTTTATTGTATCGTCAAATTTCCTCATCTTTAAATTAAAAATAAAAATACTTTATATATTGGGAAAAGTTGCTCCCTCCCCCAAACATCCTGATATTTCTGGAAAAAAAATTTGCAATATTTTCCTTCCCACATCTCTATTATGTATGGTGCTATTTATGTTGTTAATAAGAGTTTCAACATTAAGAAAATTGATCACAGAAACAGATTCTCCTCCCCTCTTCAATCTTTTTCAACTTTCTTCTATTACAATGCATTTCACAGGTCTCTATGAGCATGGATTATAACATTAACTAATAAAAGTTAAGGAAATGATCCATTAAAAAGCACAAAAGGAGATGAGAGAGACAATGATAAAGTCATATGCAGGTAAAGAATCTTAAGACTACTTCCCTACAAGGCTAGACTGTATCACTGTATCATGTCCTTGGTATATACATCCATTCTAATAGGAAAAGAAGGAGGCTAATTCCTGGAAGTTTCTAGAATGGAGTGTGCATGACGAAGGTATTTCTTAGGAAGGAGTTATGAAGGCAAGATCAAAGCCTGATAATTCTAGACTATCCAGAAGAAAAATCTGTGAACAACTCAAAATAATGACCATAAACTATGGGGTCGAAGTTTAACTCAATGCTCATGGTAGAGGATAGACAAACTCATACAAATCATGATTAAGAGATTGTAGCTCAACTTCTTTACATGGAGACACTAGGGAAGATTAAGAGATTGTAGCTCAACTTCTTTACATGGAGACACTAGGGAACTGCATCTTTTCGGTGTTTATAAGAAAACTGCCAAGTCTACATGAAAACAAATCTGTTGCTTTTGCAACTATGCTAAAGCTGAGCAACCAAAGAGTTATATAAAATGGGGGGAAACTCTCTCATTGGCCAGGGAATATACCTGTTTTCAGTACCTTCTCTCTGACGTCTCATGGCCAGTGTTATCATGTGCTCAGTGGAGACCTTTATTAGAGCACAAAACTGAGCACAAGTCATCTGTTCTGGCATGAATTCTCCTAAGCGCATAGATGCTTCACATAGAAATATAATGAATAGTCAATTTAGCAATGTGCCTCTGCTGTTACTGTTTCTACTTGCTTTTTAAAGTTTATTTCTTAATATACCATAATCATTATATGTAGCAAGATCTGGTTTAGGGAAACTGATTTTTATTAACTCTATGACATTTTCATTAAGAGAAACAGATATATCTAGACAGTGTTGAAGAGGAACAGAATCATGACCTCTATATATACCACTTTGGAATTTAGATTATTTTGAGCTGAAGACAATCAAGACCCAGCAGGCTGGAGAAAAAATGTTACTTCTCCCTTAACTACCTAAAAGAATTTAGATAGGGGGCCTGGTTCAGAAAGAGAGCTATTACCAGAGATAACTTTTATCTGAACAACCGGTCTGTAAGCCAGCAAACATCTAATTTCCAAACATCTGCTCTTCTTCTTGGCTGAGAATACCTTTTTCCCCTTTGAAGCTCTAGGGCCCTATCCCATTACTTTTCTCAGAGAGGCAAATAAGCCTCAACCGCCGAACTTGACCTTGTGTCTCACATTTTATTGGGGTTACCGTACATGTGAAATTAAATTTGTTTTTCTCTTGTTAATCTGTCTTATGTCAGGGTACTTGTTAGACCAGCCAAAGAACCGTGAAGAATAAGAGGAAATTTTCCTCCTTAATATGTCTTTAGTTGTTAATAACCAGATGTGGGTGTTGGTGGGTTTTTTTGTTGTTGTTTGTTTTTTTCCCTATAGAGTTACAGAACACATTTATACATTTGACTTGATATACTAAAAATAATAAATGGCAAATGAGTACAAGAAATTGGAGAGCCTTAATAGAGAGGTCTCCTTGACTTTTTCATTTTGCGTTTTCAGCAACCAGTAAATTACCAGGTATAATAAATGCTTTGTAAATATTTGTTGAATAACGAATATGTATAACCTCTTTAAAAATATATATATATATCTTCAGGTGAGAACTGCCAAGATATATATATCTTCAGGTGAGAAATATATATATTTCTCACCTGAAGATATGTTTATTTTATTATATTTATTTATTTTTAAATATGTATTATTATATATTGATTTCAGAGAGGAAGGGAGAGGTAGAGAGAGAGATAGAAACATCAGTGATGAGAATCATTGATTGGCTGCCTCCTGCACACCTCCTACTGGGGACTGAGCCTGCAACCAGGGCATGTGCCCTTGACTTGATTTCAACCAGGGACTCCTTAGTCCACAGGTTGATGCTCTATCCACTGAGCCAAACTAGCTAGGACTGATTTTATTTATTTTTTAAAGAGAGAGGGAAGGACAGAGAAAGAGAGAGGAGAACCTGGATCAGTTGCCTTCCAAATGGACCCCCACTGGGGATCAAACCCGAAACCGAGGTATGTGCCCTGAAGGGAATTGAACCCAAAACCTCTTGGTATACCTGAGGATACTCCAACCAACTGAGGCATGGGGCTAGGGCTATAGCTATATATTTTTAAACCTCTGGGCATTCCATGAAGGGAGAAAATGAATACTTGAGACATACAAGATACAGAATGGCTTTAAAGAACTTGAGAGAGGTTTTTAGAGTATTTCCTGGTGCCTTCATGTGGTGAAAATTCTGAATATGGGACATATATTGAAGATTGGCTTTTTGTGCTCATACGATTGCCAATATTACTTTGGGCTGTGGAATTCATTCCCTCCAGAGTGTTTCAACTGCAGAAAGAGGAGGGAAACACCTCTGGTGACTTCTTTTTTAATGCAAAGCTCCAGCAGATAAAATCATTTATGTAGAAAATCCTTCCAACCATCCCTTGAGAAGCCCCCCCCCCCCCGCCCCACTTTCAACTTTCCTTCTCCCCAACCTGATAGAAAATGCTGTTGATTTGTTGTCATTTTCCTCAAAATATTCGGGAAGGAATCCTTTCCTCCAATCACTTCATTGTACAAATTAGTTGAGGCCACATAGAAGTGACTTGCACAAGAGCTTCTGGCAAGTGCCTTTCTCTAAATCCACCGGAATAAGGAGTGTCCCTGTCCCAGTACTCCTCTCCCCCTCCCCCCTCCCTTTCTCAGGCTAACTGTAGCAATTGCAAACAGCAGGGAACACAACTGCAGATTGAGGATGGAGGGGGCAGGGTAGGAAGTGGTGATTAGCAGATCCCTGGGCCTGGAGATCACCTGCTCTCTCTGATCAAAACAGTGTAACAGGCTCTTCATGAGAACATCCAGGGCAGGACGAGTGGGCCATTGTTTCAGAGCCAGCTGTGCAGAAGCCGCTCAGCAGTGGCCTTGGAGTGGCAGCTGTACTGAGGGGCGGAGGCCGCGGAGGTGGGAGAGGAGGGAGCCAGCGAGTGGGGCCGGCTGCAGGGACCCCGCGGCGGCGCCACCTCTCGGCAAACCCGGAAGCGTTTCCCTAATAAAAGTGCAACGGCCTGAGCCGCCTCATTGAACCTAAAGTGTGAATGGCTCTGAGCAGGCCCCAGATGCTGCTGTCGTGACCGCAACCCCTGGGGGCACTGGTGCCCGGGAGACTACGCTCCGGCCGCTAAAGGGTCAGAGCCTGGGAGCACCAGGCCCTCGCGATCGGGGAAGCACACAGGACGGAGCAGGCTCTGCTCTCTGGGCGAACCGTGAACCGAGCAAAGTCCGGGGTAAACAAGCCTTGCAGCGGCTGTCTCCAGACCTGCGCCCCCTGTGTGCTCCTCTCCCCCTCGTTTCCCACGCCTCGGAGCCCACCCCTGCAGCCCCGGCCACCCTCTCTCCCAGGCCCTATCTTCCCATCTCCGATCTCCTCATTTTGGGGGGATGTTCCCGGGAGGCCCCCATGCCCACAGCCGGCGCGCCCACACTCACCATCTCTTGCCTGAGGAGGTGCAGCTTGGTCTCCAGCCTCTCCAGGGTGCTGGAGTGGCTGCGTCTTCCCGGGGAGCCCGAGGTTGGGGAGGACGAGGAGGAGGACGACAGGGAGGGCGGGAGGCTGCAGCAGCTGCTGCTGCTGCTACCGCCGCCTCCGCTGCTCCCCCCGCGGGGGTCCCCGGTCCTCTCCGGGGGAGCCCGCTCCTCCCCGCGCAGCGAGCGCACCAGGCTCTCGGGCACTTTGCGCCCCAGCTTCAGCTCGATGTCCCTGAGGTCCGGCACCGCGGCGTCTTCCATGGCTTTTCAGGAGCGGGGATGACGCCAGGGAAAGGCTGCGGCTGCGAGGTGGCAGCGGCTTTTCTCAGCGGGGGCCCTGAGGTCAGAGGCCCCTCCAGCCGCCGGGGTGTCTGTCCCTCTGTCTGTCTATCCGCGGCGGGTCCAGAGCTCCATCCGCCCCATAGCCACCGCCGCCGCCGGCGCGTGTCCACCCCGCAGGCTGCACAGGGCGCGGGGTCCCAGCCGCAGTCCCCGGTCTGGTCGCCGTCACTCCCCCAGGCTCTTACCGAGGTTCTAGAGCCCCATCCATCCTCTCCCCTGCCGGCCCCGCCGCTGCGAAGTTGAGTTTAATTGATATTGCAGAGCCCCGGGAGGAGGCAAGGGCTACAGACAGGGAAGAAACAGAGGGAAGCGAAGCCCCAGCTCCAGCTTTCTTGGGGGGGAAATCACGTTATAAAACTGTCCATCACTTCCCCGCGCCCTTCACCGGCTGCCCATCTGGTCCCGCGCGACCCAAAATAATGATGTGGCCGCCCTCCAGCAGCGTCGTTTCATTTTCCAGCCATAAAATCCCCCAGCTTTCAGGGGATCCTCAGATAATCGTCTCTGGTCGGCGAGAGAGGAGGGCGGGCGGGTGCAGGGGCGCAGGCAAGGAGGTGGTCCGCAGGAGTTTAAGGGCTTCCCGGGTCCGGCAGAAATAGCCTCCTGGCCATTTAGGCTGTTGGATCCAAGTCATTGTGCTCGTGCGAGCCTCAGAAACTTTAAACTGCGCTGGCAGGTGGACCAAGCCAGGGCCAGCCCCTGCACCCCTGTACCGTATATCCTAGGCGAGAGGAGCAGCACGTTTCCGTGCCCCTGCTGCCCAGGGGTAGTTTCAGCGCCCTGTTTTCCTTGGGAGTTCCTAATAGGAGTATTAGATTTCAGTTTTCCCCCTGGCAGGATTGCCTGGCACCTACAACCATACAACAGTTAGGGAATATTGGAGGCAGAATAAAGACTTGAAAGGTTGTGTCATACCCCACCCCATTTTCCCAAGGCAAAAATAAATAAATAAATAAATAAATAAATAAATAAATAAATAAATAAATAAATAACTTTAAAAGCCTTTCCTAATAGTTTTATACGAATAAAAAGTAGCCAAGTGAGAATGCACAACCAAAATTAATGGGCTTAGCTAATGTAACAGTATGTCACTACAGGCAGAAGTGAAGAAATAAATAGCCAGAATAATGCATATGGTTACTGAAGATAGCTATGGATTTTAAAAGGGGGGAGTTGCTGAGATGCTTTTATGTTAATTACGGGAGGGAAAATATTGAGCATAACTAGTCAAAAAGTTGTCTTTGATAATTTATATTTTCAACTATTTAAGGGCATGCAATCTGTTAATCTGAGATGCTTTTACCAAGGAAGTTATGGATTATAGGTGTGATTCAATATAGAATTTATGTTAATATCTTCAAGTGGATGATACCATTTTCAATGCAGTAAAGTCTAATTTTGGAATATTTTGAAATATGGCCCTCCTGTTTCTGGGACAAATAAGTATTTGTGGTATTGGTCCTTCCAACCTCCATTCCCAGAGACATCACTCAGGTTTTTGTCAACGCTTGTAAATTCATAGGCAGACATTTCTGAGAGTTTGTTTCTAGACTCCTCTAGAAAGTCTAGGGATAAAAAAACAAACAAACAAACAAACAAAAAAAAAACCGGGGCTTCTGAATGACATATTTCATGTCAGGGAGAAAGTTGCTGAAGTTCTCTTGTCAGCATGTCAAATATTTGTGTTATTACTCACTCTTAAAAAAAGTAGAGAATAGTTGTAAATTGGGTGGCCCTTTTTAAAGTTGGAACAACCATTTATGGAATCAAAGGAGAACAAGACTAAATCTCAACTCACTGATAAAACTACATGCTTTGTACTAAATTTGGAAAACCACATGCCCATTGCATAAGAATTGCACTGAGACCTGTAATTATGGAAAGCTTGCATCTCAGTCAAGAACAGGATTTTTGAAAATGATAAAACCCTTACAAAGTTCACAATGGAGTTGGCTGAGAAGAGTAGCTTACAAATACAATATCTACCTTGAACTTGGTCAGTTTAAAAGTTTATTGTCAAATTAGCATCAATATAATCTACAAAAAAGGAACACTTCCTTTGCTGTGAGACACAAACAATAAAATTAGTATTTGATACTGGTGAAAACTCAAAAATAGAAAAAAATATGTTTGCCTGTTAAAGGTCAGCAGAGAAAATTCCTCTGAAATTAAAAATATGACCCATTTTGAAAGTAACACTTTGTGCCATACAATATAAAACAAATATTAAGACTTACATTTTCTCAATTTAATGCTTTATGATATTTAAAATAGAGACATTTTGCCCTAACTGATTTGGTTCACTGGCTAGAGCATCAACCTGTGGACTCAAAGGTTCCAGGTTCAATTCCAATCAAAGGCACATGCCCAGGTTGCAGGTTCGAACCCCAGTAGGGGGCATGCAGGAGGTAGCCAATCAATGATTCTCTTTCATTTCTAACACTTCTATTATAGAAAAAGGGCAAATAATAATGATGAGAGAGAATCTACCTACTCCAGGACTTCTGTGAGAATCAAATGAGATGAGGCACGTGAAAATGCTTCACAAACATTTGGTTAAACTGTAAAATGTTTGCGCCTGGCTATAAAATAAACCGGGTTCCTGAGCTGAAGAAACTCCAAGGGGTCTAGTTGCTAGGGAGAGGAAGCCAGCATTGCTGAATGACATCATTACTCAGCACCCACAGTGACCATTTTTGGAATGGGCTGGACTGTGGACTGCATTTTGTGCCATGGGTTCTGGCAGGGTTTGCTGCGATTTGGTGGGGTGTCACTCCAGGGTGGTGGCGGGGCCTGTGTCCCACTTGGGGGAAGCCGAGTGTTGGTTTTTCAGCGCCAGGTTCCTGGTGCAATTTATTTTTAAATGACCAGTGCATGTCATGGCAGCTGCTGCGTTGAGCATCTGCCCTAAGGTAGTCAGTGTGCATCATAGCTATTGGTTAGAGGGAAGGAAGGACACTTAGCCTTTTATATATTATAATAGATGAGTCAGTCTTAACAGCACTTCCTTCCTGATTCAGCCTTTCTTGTCCATCTCTAATCATTTCTTATTTCCTTAATTAAGAGCACCTGCCAGCAACAACCTAAACTCAGGATGTTTCTCCAAGGCTGATAGGTTGAAAAACAAATTTATGAAAGTCGTTATTGTTTTTGTGTTTGTGGTACATTTTTTGGACCTAGACTACCTTATATATGCTTCCTTTTCTAACTGCCTTAAATATGAACTAGATTTGCCTTTGTTTTCTATTTAGACTAAGGAATCAAAACATGGGTATTAAACTATGGGGAGCTTTAAGAAACGGAATTTCTTCCCCAGTTGAATTGTGTTTCCAGAGAAGGAAAGGAAGCCTCTTATTTATCATTTCAAAACACACACACAACACAACAAAACCCAGTGTCTAATTTAATAGGAACGTGGATGAACTCAGATGACAGGGTTTAAAAGAATGTCTCATTCCTCCCAAAACAGAGTGATGTGGTGTATGCTTCACACAATCCACGCTTAGAACATTTTCTGGTATAAGACTTATAGCAATTGTAGATTCAGTAAAGACTGTATGGTGTGAGCAATGCCACTCCTTACTCTGCTGGCACTGTGGTTAAAAGAAAAAAGACCTTCCACCTTCTCCCAGGCACTGATTCAAGTTTTTCAGCATTCCCAGATCTTGCTGGCACCAAGTTCAAGGACTAGGGCAGATTCTCTAACCTGAGACTCCATTCCCCACAGTGCAGAATAATATCAAGCAGCTTACTGCCTCAAATTACTCGTTGTTTTTTTAAAAAAAAAACAAAACATTTTATTGATTTTTTTACAGAGAGGAAGGAGAGGGAGAGAGAGTTAGAAACATCGATGAGAGAGAAACATCGACCAGCTGCCTCTTGCACACCCCCTACCTGGGATGTGCCCGCAACCAATGTACATGCCCTTGACCGGAATCGAACCTGGGACCCTTCAGTCTGCAGACTGATGCTCTACCACTGAGCCAAACTGGTTTTGGCCCTCAAATTACTCTTAAGAATTTTGAGAAGTAACTATTTAAAGGGTATCAGCTTCTTTGGATCTTTGTTTTAAATGCGTAGGGATGCTGTTTCTATAAATATTTTTATTTAGCTGATGATGTGCTTAACAAGGAAAATGTCATACAAAACTAAAGAATGTTGCCCTAGCTGGTTTGGCTCAGTGGACAGAGTGTTGGCCTGCAGACTGGGTTTGATTCCGGTCAAGGGCACATGCCCAGGTTACAGACTCAGTCCTCAGTAGGTGTGTGCAAGAGACAGTCAAACAAAGATTCTCCCTCATCATTGATGTTTCCATCTCTTTCTCTTTTCCTTTCTGAAATCAATAGAAATATATTAAAACAAACAAACAAACAAAACAATAACAATAAAAAAACCTTAAAGAATGTTGATCATTTCCATACATAGTAGACATATATTTGCTAAAGCTGCAAAGATTTTATTCTGTTTATTTATAGGGTGATTTCACTCACCTATTTTGTAGCTGGGTTTCTTTTATAGCATAAAATCATCTAGTTTATTACCAACCTGAGCTACTTATGCATGTGTATGATTATATATATATATATATATATATATATATATATATATATATATAATCACTCCATCTATCTATATATAATCACTCTATCTATCTATCTATCTATCTATCTATCTATCTGTCTATCTATCGTCTATTATCTGAAATGCTTCTCCCTAAGAAGCACAGATCCTTTAAATAGTACTCTGATTGGAATCTAATTAATATTTATAATCAGAGCTAAACACTTCCCTGAGAGATTTAGTAGACAATACTAAAAGTAGGTCACCAGCATCTAAGTCAGCCTTATCCCCTCTTCTCAATCCCTGTCAAATCACTCTGCCTTCATTATGTGTAAAGAGTCTTTTATTTGCTTTTACTT